GGCTGAGGGAGCTGATGCTGAGGGAGCTGATGCTGAGGGAGCTGATGCTGAGGGAGCTGAGGCTGAGGGAGCTGATGCTGAGGGAGCTGATGCTGAGGGAGCTGATGCTGAGGGAGCTGATGCTGAGGGAGCTGATGCTGAGGGAGCTGATGCTGAGGGAGCGTGCATGATTAAGACTGGTGGAGCTTTACAGGTAGAGAGATTATTTGTTTTGTTGTTGTAGTTTTCTTCAGGGTGGAGCCTTCTAGATTAATGAGATAATAAAATTAAAGAAGCCTGTTTAGGTTTGGTGAAAAATTTTCAGCCCTCTATACGCAAAATTCCTTCCTACAACCCTGGGGGCTAAGCCCCACCTTGTCTTTCAATCCTAGTAACGTCCCTGGGTGTGACGCTCATGTTATCAAACTGTCACGCTCAGGCAGGAAACCTTACGGCAAATATATATTGTTCCATTATAAATCTAAAATTAGCTACATCAAAAGCACTGGAGGAGTTTGCAAACTATTTACAAGGTAATAAAACTTAAAGTTACATGTACATGCGTGTGCGGGTGTGTGCAGACTTGTCTTGAATTGAAAATCTCACTCTGACCAAAGTTGCCAGTCGAAAGATAATACCTAAGGAGAGAGAAAAAACAACAGAAATTAAAATGTCATTAATCTGGGCTCAATGCCAGTATGAAAAAGTGGATTTTCAGTTGAAAACAGGTAAGGGCTGTAACTCATGTTAGATGGGAGGTTGTTCCAAAGATTTGGCACAGTCACCCTTCTGCTTAACCCTTTGAACCCTGTCCCATTTTGAGCATTTTTCTATCCCTTTGATTTTAGGTTCATTGCATTTTATGTACATGTGCTAGCCACATATGCTTTATGGTTTTGTTTTCAGGTACTCAGCTACTCAGATACATCATAATTTGATGTGCAAATGCTGACACAGTTTAGATATCCTTATGAGGAAAAACTACTTGCACCTATTGAAATTTTTAGTTTCACCTAATATAAATATTTGCAGGCACAAATATAATCTTATAAATGTTGAGATTAGAGTCTCTGTGATGTGGGAACGCAGGGTTTTCATTGAGGACCTTTCTGTGCCTTAGTACTGTGAAGGAATACATGGCTAGTGCCAGACGGAAATGAATGTGTTTGATTTTGCATCCATTTGGAAACTTGTTGAAGTTATGTGATAAACAACAATGCGTGTTTTTTATATACAGCATACAGTAGAACCCTGGAAGTAGTCGGCTTCTGAACTCGTCATATTTGGTCTTCGTCGTGAAATGACGAGAAAATTTTGAGCCGGAGTTCGTCGGGAAATTTGGAGTTCGTCCTGAAAAACCGCGCGGTTTCCTTTGTAAACAAGCGTTTAATGTTTACGCTCAGTTGGCGTCAGTCTTACGCGTTGTTCACACGTTGCTCTGAGTGTTGCGATCGCATTGTATAGTTTTTGTGGCTTTTATAAGCTTTTTTGCTAATAAACATGGGTCCAAAGAAAGCCAGTGCAGAGACGGCGGAAAGGAAGTCCATAAGAACCACAATTGAACTTAGAAAGGAGATAACTGAAAAGTTTGAAAGCAGCAGTATAAGTACCACTTTAAGTACATTTATAAGGCATATACTGTAGAGGCAACAAAAGGTGCTTGTGTTTCTAAAGGGGTTACGAGTTTGACAAAACAGAGGCCTCCAATTATAGATGAAGTAGAAAAATTGTGTGGATAAACGAAAAACAGTTAGTTGGTCGTAGTGTTTGTGCTAAGGCTCGAAGCTTGCATGCTGATCTCCTGAAAGACAGACCTGGATCAAGTGCTAATGAACATGAGTTTCTAGCTAGTAGGGGTTGGTTTAGTAGGTTTAGGAAAAGAAGTGAAATTCATAGTGTTGTAAGGCATGGGGGGGCAGCCATTGTTGACAGAGCAGCTGCTGAAAAGTACAGTCAGGTCCATAAATATTGGGACATCGACACAATGCTAACATTTTTGGCTCTATACACCACCACAATGGATATCAAATGAAACGAACAAGATGTGCTTTAACTGCAGACTGTCAGCTTTTATTTGAGGGTATTTACATCCAAATCAGGCGAACAGTGTAGGAATTACAACAGTTTGCATATGTGCCCCCCACTTGTTAAGGGACCTGCTGACAGTCTGCAGTTAAAGCACATCTTGTTCGTTTCATTTGATATCCATTGTGGTGGTGTATAGAGCCAAAAATCATCATTGACCAAAATGGCTTTATGCCACATCACATGTTTAACTGTGATGAAAAGGGATTGTTTTTGAAGAAAATGCCCAAAAGAACCCACATTACTCGAGAGGAAAAGAAATTGCCAGGCCACAAACCAATGAAAGGCTAACTTTGTGGTTGTGTGCAAATGCTAGTGGTGATTTTAAAAATAAAGCCTCTCTTGGTCTACCACTCTGAAAACCCTAGAGTATTTAAGAAACATAAAGTTCTTAAGAATAAACTAAATGTTATGTGGAAATCAAATGCTAAAGCTTGGGCAACAAGGCAATTTTTTAGGGTATGGATTTGTGAAGTGTTTGCCCCTACTGTAAAAAATACCTTGAGGAAAACAATTTGCCACTCAAGGCACTTCTCATTTTGGACATGTCCCTTGCTGTGCCCTGTTGTGATCCCTGTGTTCTACGTCCCTGCTGAGTTGTAGTCTTGTCCAGTCCCCACGGTCGTGCTTTTGTACCCCAGATCTAGTCACAATGTTCCAGTCCTGGTTCTAGTGTGTCCTTGCCTTGTTATTGTGCCCCCGTATTAGTTCTTGCCTTCCTGCTTCTGTCCTGGTCTCAGTGTAGCTTTGCCCTTCTCGTATTCCGCATCCCTACTTAGTTGTGGTCCTGTCTCATCTATTCCTCACTGTCCTGCTTTTGTTCCCATGTCCTGGCATCATGTCTTTGTCATAGTCCTAGTGTTCCCTTGCCATGTCAGTACTGTGTCCCTGCTCAGTTGTGGTCTCGTCTTGTCCAGTCCTGGTTTGTGGGTCCCTGTCCTGTCTAGTCTAGTCTGTCCTCAGCTCCCCTTTGTCCTTCGCCCTCCACTTCTGTAGGTCCCCTCTCTGGGCTCGGTCACGTGCCCGCAGTGCAGTAGTTCAATGGGCTCTGTCACGCCCGGCATGCCTTTTTCCCCTGTGTTCTCCATGGTGTGGCACTAACAAGCCACACCTGTTCCTCGTTTAAACCTGCCTCTCATTTCAGCCCTCGTGGACGATCCCAGGTGCCTCTCATCTGCTCCTTGTGTGTGTGTGTGTGTGTGTAGAGTGCCTCCTGGTGTGTGTTACTGCTGCCTGATTGTGCTCCCCCTCCGGTTACCCTGCGCCCCCGTGTTTCTCCTCTGCTCTCCCAGCCTTGTTTTGACCCCTCACGGTCTGTTTCCTTTGGCATTTTTGTGTTGTGTTTTTGGTTGGAATAAAACCCCTTTCGTTTTCCCGGATAGCTGCCTTCACCTCCATCCTTCCCGAACCGTGACAGATGGACATAATTGGTACACATTCACCTTTAAAAATGTGCAACAATCGATTGTTTGTAAAAGCACAAATGCATACTTATTTTATGTGCATTTTTACTGCTATGGCAAGAAAATGCGTTGCATTTTAATCTGTGTACCGCAAATGAAGTATAGTTAGTATATAAAGATTAAAATGAAATATATAGTTTTCATATCAGCATAAATGCACGTAAAATAAGTACACACTTACACTTTTACCACAGTCGATTGTCACACGTATCATTTTTAATGGTGAATGCGTATGTAAGAGGGGTAACTTTTCACAATTATGCACGTTCGTGACTTGGCTAAACTGAGCACCAGACATAAGAAACAGCTCACAACAGAAGTATAGAAATAAGCATTTACTACCAGGATTGCACAGTTCAGTGTCCCTGCCCCAATAAGTAAGTGGAGCGCCCAGGCAACACCGCAACCCCCACACAATGATCTAAGCACAGCAATCTCTAAAACAATCGTTAGAATATTTCACAATCAGCTAAAACACACTGCTAGAGCTCACACGTGTAAATAAAAGGGCCTGGGCTGCTCACATCAGGAATAAGTAAAATCCCCGCCTACTTGTGTACCAGTTATGTCCATCCCTGCTTATAATAAGTGAATTATAAAGTAAATATTTGTCTTTTGTGTTCTACCAGGATCAGTAGTACATGGATCATTGCGAAAGTGATCACGTGCTTTGTTTTCCGTCAAATATGAATAATATTGATGTTTCATGGATAAGTGGTGGATTTGATTGGTGGTTTTATGTTGTATTTTAGTGGAAAATGTTTATAATATATGCCTTATTGTGAACAGGATTACTCTGAAATACTTTAGCACACAATGTTGCACCTGGATGTCCGCTCAAGTAAGTTCTCTCGATTGCAAGGCATGTGATTCATCTCTGTGCGTTATACCTATCCAAAATTGCGAGCCTGAGATTAATGGGCGCAAAAGTCAACGCATTTGTGTTTGTCGGGTTCTAAGGGTTAAGTCAGTGGGGGGGGGGGGGGTCTCTCAAAAGAGACGGAGACGAGTCAGCATGCAGGGTGGCAGTGGAGCAGCTGACGGCATGGTGCACGAACCACAGTCTTGTCCACGAAGTCAAGAAGATCACTGATGGCGATGCGGCAGAGAGGGCGTGCAGGGCAGCACCTGAACCCTTAACACCATGCCCATCATCAAGGCCCAACAGCGACTCTCCCCTTTTGGAGACTAACGAGGGCAAGCCTCCCTTCCCAGCCCACGGTAACTTTTACAGGGGCACCACTGAAAGTGTATTGACCTACTGCTTGACTTCCTGGTTCAGTAACTGCGAAGTGACTGAACACCACCAACTGAACAGGACGGTGAAGACAGTTGAAAAGATCATTGGTCCACCACTCCCCTCTCTGCTCCCCCCCAACACCGTGCTTGCAGAGCCTCCAGCCTTATCAGAGATCCCTCCAACCCCTCACACCGGTTGTTTTCTCTCCTGCCTTCTGGAAAAAGGTATCTAAGATCTAAACCAGGACCATTGGGATGTTACACAGCTTCTTTCCCAAGCAATCAGACTCCTGAACTCCCAAAACCTCCTCGCAAGCAGACATACTCCCCTCTCCTCCCTTTATGTTTATTCCTATCACTGGACACCTTGCCAGTTATCCTTTTTGAATATATTATTCAGCGCAATTTTTAAAAATAATTTGCACCCTTCTTGTCATTCCGATATTTGTCTGGTCATTGTGATAATTGTCTGTCGTCAATTATGACACCGTTCGATCTAGGGCAGGGGAGGCCAATCTTATCCGCAAAGGGCCAGTATGTATGAAGTTTTTCGGGATAACCTGTCGGTCAGCTGTTCAAACCCAGGTGTGAGGACTCTTCAGCCAATCAGTCCTCTAGTTAGTAATCTAATTAGGGAGTTGCAGTGCAAACCCGCAGACAGAGCGGCCCTTTGCAGATAAGGTTGGCCACCCCTGGTCTTGGAGGAACAGCATTTAGTTTATGTATGCAAATACACCAAAAATGTAAAAAGTGTGTTTCCTGTCTTTCAGGGAATGTTACACCGTGGAGGTGCCTCTGCCACGCTGCATGTTCAAGCTCCTCCCTGCTGAGGTCAGGGGCCAGCTGCTGCATGTTTACCCCGTCCTGTTTAATGTGGGAATCAACCAGCAGCAGACACTGGCTGAGAGGTACTGTCAGACACTCTAAGGTTTCCATGGTTACAGCTGACATGGGCGTGCATTTCCCGCTAGCTACTATTAACAGCTTACGTAGTTGGAAGGAACCGTTCAGTTTCAAGGCTCATTTTGCATATACTAGGAATTTCTTCCAAAATGTTTTAGCATGGAATGTTTATTATAAATATATATGAGACATAAATTAAAGCCTTTAATGTGCACATAACATTCTCCCCTATTCAGTGGTAATAATAGATAAGCTTTGCAATGGCAACCAATTTTAAAAATTTCTCTGAAAATTCAAGATGGAATTCTCTCATAGTTAATCATTGTTTTCATATCTGAGAAGCTGTCAGTTTTTTTTTCCTGAAAGCAAAGAAAAGCAAATTCTGCATGCACAAATACCATGAAAAATGACTCTGTGGTTAGGGGCTGCATAGACCAGTCGACTAGAGGACAAGTCGACCTTACTTCTCTGCTCAACTAGTCACTGATCATGTGATTATGACACTAACAGCACGTACGCCTCAGAGAATACCAGTTATGTGGGGAAAAGAGACAGAAGTACTAGAGCAAAAACTGAGCAGATGAAGTTATTTTTGTACGCCGTTAATGCGTTTTGTTCCAAGATGTTAATGAATTCCCTTTTGCTTGCATCTTTATGTCTCTACATCGGAAAATATGATCGATAACATAAACTTTTGTGTAATGTCATTAGAGCTGTTGGTGAAACTTGCCAGCGCTTGAGTGGAATAACATTACATCGTTTTTTTATTCTGCGGAAAGTGAAACATCTGTTTCAGTTTTAATAATTAATTATGTCCATCCATACTTTTTCTAAAACCGCATGTCCTGTTAAGGGTTGAGGAGGGTCCAGAACCTATGGGCACAAGGCACAGGATGTGCGCCACCCAATGGCAGGGCACACTCACACCAGTCACTCACACCAGTCACTCACCACAGTCACTCACACCAGTCACTCACACACCAGTCACTCACACACCAGTCACTCACACCAGTCACTCACACCAGTCACTCACGCACCAGCGCTGAAAATAAAATGTATTATTATTATTATTATTATTATTATTATTATTATTATTATTATTATGTGCGGTACAGTATTATGGTCAGGGTGGCTTTGGCTCACAGTTTGCTGTTTTTATAGGCTGTTTGAGGTCACGGTAGTTTTTATATGCCCCTTTTCAATTGTTAAGGTTTTATATGCCCCTTTTCAATTGTTAAGGTTTTATATGCCCCTTTTCAATTGTTAAGGTTTTATATGCCCCTTTTCAATTGTTAAGGTTAATCTTTTCATCACTGTTTTTTAGGTTCGGTGACATATCCTTACAGGAGAGGATAAATCAGAAAAGCCTTGAGAACTTGGAAAACTATTACAAGTCATTAAGCGATAACAGTCCATCAAAATGTAAGTGTAAGAAAGTTGCTTGTTTTCAGACTAAATGGCCGTTTGTGTGTGTTGGAGACTGGCTTCAAAAACAGGATTTGAAACCTTTGTCATTTATACAAGTACCCTCCCATCACGTTCACACTAAGCACCACCATCCTGTCCCATCCCATCCCATCCCGTCCACTGTAAGCGCCACTGTCCCGTCCCATCCCATCCTGTCCACTGTAAGCGCCACTGTCCTGTCCCATCCCATCCCATCCTGTCCACTGTAAGCGCCACTGTCCTGTCCCATCCCATCCCGTCCACTGTAAGCGCCACTGTCCTGTCCCATCCCATCTTGTCCACTGTAAGCCCCACTGTCCTGTCCCATCCCATACTGTCCACACTAAGCCCCACCGTCCTGTCCCATTCCATAAATGGCTCACAGATGCCGTCCCTTCTTGCAGGTCTGCCTTCTTTCCAGATGCAGACCAACCTGGAGGAGTTACTGGGAACTCTCAGTCAGCACATCGCATCTCGGAAGAAAAAGAATGTGGAGATCCTGTGGTTGGCGGGAGTGGTGAGGATACTGTGGAGATCAGGCTACCGTATGGGGAGGGGGATGGAAAAATTCCACTGCATGACTACCCTCAAATTCTGCTGCCTCTTAACACGGTTCTCATTAGCAAAAACTTAGACTATAAGAAAATAAAACTGAACATTAGACATGAAAACAATACTAAATATTAGGGATGAGCGAGTACAGCATTATCTGTATCTGTATCCGTATCTGTTAACCATATGAATTATCTGTATCTGTATCTGTACTCGGAATGGGCGGGGCCTAACCAGGAAGTGGGCGGGGTTTGACCTGGAAGTGGGTCGGGTTGTCTTTAAATGGGTGGGGCTTTAACCGGTATGTTATTTTAAGCATGCAATTGATATGGGTTGATCAGAAATTGTTATATTTATTGCTGATTAGAAAACTATTTACATGACAGCATCAGCATTGAGCTTCAGATCAGTGGTTTTGATCACGATAACAAACGAACTATATACAGAACAAGTTTTGCAACAATGAATACAACACATGCGGTTGCAATTATGAAGTAAAATGTAATGAACAAGAGTTTTCATCTCAACATAACTTTCTTTTTTTAACTTTTAATTTTTTTATGATCAGTGTGATTTCTTTTTTTTTGGTTCTTTTTAATTTTTTTTATTTCCACACCAGGTATGTGTGAGTGTGTGTGAGTGAGTGAGTGAGTAAGAGAGAGACAGAGAGAGAGAGAAAGAGAGAGGGGGGGGAGTGTGTGTGTGTGTGTGTTTGTGTGTGTAGCTTAATTTGTAATATTAATTATACCACAACTACCTTTATTTTTTTTTATAAAATACAGCAAGAAAGTGTCAGACACTCAGTGCGTGAAGTAAAAAAAAACTGGCTAGAGCCAGCTGACGGTTTAAAAAAGAAAAAAAAAACTCCGACAGGCAGAGACGCGAGTCGAATTCTACAAACAAACCTGAAGCTGAAGAAACCCTAAACGTTAACGGAAAAAAACCCGCGATCCTGAGTGACTGAGGGAGCGACAGAGAGAGAGAGCGCTGTTCTCTTCTCTTCTCAGTGTTCTGTGTGTGAGTGAGCAGAGCGGGACACAGCAACACAATAAATCTGTATGTGTGTAGGGGAGGGGCGCTGTGACTAGTCTATCACAGAACGCAGACAGTCAGCTACCCAATGAGAATTTTTATTCAATCCGAGCACAGATATTGACTTGTATTACTCGTATGATACTCGTACTCGTCAAAAGTGCTTTATCCGTACCGGATACTCGTTTCAGCCGAGTATCCGGCTCAACTCTACTAAATATTTCTTCTGAAATTAAATAAACATCAAATACTTTTATGTTACTATTTAAAAATAATATTTAGCTAAATTAATAATATTTATTTTCTCATTGGTGGAAATCATTCAAGGAAACATAATCTACTACACTGCCTTTATGTGACTATTAGTAATTAATACCAGGAACATGTTTTGTCTAAATTGACTTTACTAGATAATGTGAATTATATTCCCTAACCATTAAGCCACCACTGCCCACTGTGTATTTATGTAAAAGTCTTTAAAGATCAGTGTAATGACACGAGCAAACAGGTAGCAAATACAAAAGACTGAAGTGGAGAAGCAGGGGTCAAAAATGCCATAAAGCGATCCTGGGGGAGAACAGTTGAGCTCTTGATTGAAGGTGGAGTCTCTCCTACTCTGGAATTCCCCAAGATGAAAGACCCAGGCGCCTGAGGGAATGTTCCAGGCAGAGGGCTGTGCAGAGGGGATTTTTCTACACTGGACAAGAAGTCTGTGTGTATGAAACCAACAGCAGCTCAGATTCCCAGCCTTCTTAGAACAATGTCTCCCAACCCGGTCCTCGGTGACCCCCAGTTGGCCCACCTTTTTGCTCCCTCCCAGACAGTCCACATTTTTGCTCCCTCCCAGAGAGCTGAATCAATATATGGTCTTCCCTTGATGGGTCAGAAATCCAGCAAGGTGATCTTGGGGGAGCCACATGTGTAGATGCAGAGAAAGCGGAACGCACACTTGCTCCAAGAGGGGAAAGGATCACACACTTACCGGGCTGGCAATCCACACGGGAGGGTAATGAAACGCTGGGAAAAGCAGGGAGAGCAAATGCTCAGCTAATACACGAGTCACTAATACTCACTAATACTCACTAATACTCATGTCGCTCGTTTAAATGCAGATCTGCAGGAGGCTCAATGGCATTCGGTTCACGAGCTGTAAAAGTGCCAAAGACCGGACGTCGATGTCGGTCACGCTGGAGCAGTGCTCGCTTCTGAGGGACGAGCACCAGCTGGACAGTGAGCACTTCAGCCGGGCCCTGGACTGCATGCGCAGGTAGGCCATCCTTCCCTCACGCTGCAAGGTGCGACTCATGGTGACACAGCGTCGCATTTCCCATGATTCCCAGTGCATGTGCTCATTTTCATCCAGCCCGTGCAGGGCCAGATTAACTTCTCTGGGGGGTCCCAGGCTGATTTGGCTTGAAAGCCCCCCCAGGCCTGCCACTCCAGAGAGAATCAATTGGCCAGTAGCTTACAGAGATGGGACCCCTGATTTTGCCAGATAGGGCCCCTTATTTTGCCGGACAGGGCCCCTGATTTTGTCAGATGGGGCCACTTATTTTGCTGTGGCTGTAGGCTGCAGCCCAGGAATGCCTCTGTATAAATCTGCTCCTAAGTCTGTCGTATGGGCCCCAGATGCATCCAGTTTATTTGCAAGCAGGAGGGAGTTGGGCACGTTTAGCCACAAATGCATCATAAAGATCCTATGTGCCATATATTTATTTATGCCAGTTGTTTGATGCCGTAAAAAAAACCCTCTGTCACAAAGATTTTCAGATGTGGTAGCCAGAAAAATTGCGAACAGTGGAGTTTGATGTAAAGCTAAAGAAAATAAAGGGAGCAGGAGTCTAAGACGGGCATTGGTGAGCTGGCCAGAATACGTCTTTTTTCTCCATAAGTATCGGAAAGTGGATTTCATTGCTGCCGGTGTATTGTCCAGACCCTGCCGTGTGATATAATCAGGCGTCTGGGACAGACCACAAACTCTGCTGCAAAAAGCACAGGGTGTGGGACTTGTCTGACAAGGCCAGCTAAATCAGCAGCTCGCTAGGGGCAGATGACATGGACCACAGGAGACACAGTCTCTTATCAGCCTGCATGCTTACACACGCCTCTTTGCCTCACTCACGGCAGTGGGCTCGCTTTACACTGCCGTCTGTCGGCGGGCTCCTTTCCTGTCTAATAGGGTTGGGCCGATATATATCAATTTGTATTATTGATTATTGCTGCAAAAAATATCTAGATTATTGATAATCTCGTCTTTTTGGTGGAGGGCGGTGGGGAAAACTCGGTGAAAGTAGACTTAGTTGTAACCAACAATGAAAACTCAACACAAATGTTTTGAATGTGTCCATATAACTGTGACAAAATCAATAAGTAATAAAAAACATTTATGGATCATATGGATTATCTGCCCAAGCCTACTGCCTGACGCTCTGCCGGTCAATGTCTGTCTCCTTTACTAACCCACCTCTGCTCTCTCTGTTCTTGGCCCGTTCAGCAGTCGGCTGTCCCGGGCGGAAAGCACTCACTGGCCTGTCCCTGAAACGGGCTCCATAGCAGAACCCAAACCCGCCTCCCGCCATTTCTACCCTGTAGCTCTTCTCCTGGTCAGCTCACACTTGCTGGTTGTGTGGCTCATATTAAGTCTCGTTTTTCTGCTTGCAAAATATCAATAAACTGCAAATCATGCAATAATTACAGTTTACTGTGTGGTTTATTGAATGTCATGGTCTTCATATATATATATATAAACTAAATTCCCATTAAAGACCTCTATGACCAATGTCTTGCACTTTGCAAAATAAAAGACATAATCTCCTTCTTTCACAATAAGGTTGCTGGGCTTCGTAAATGTTAAGTTTAACCAGTACTATCTTAACCTTAACACTTAATCACATTTTGTTACTAAACCAAAAATAGAATTCTGGATAATAAAGTGAAGTACAATTCCCATTTCCTATTTATCTTTTTCTTTTCTTTTCCCTGTGGATATCTGGCAGTTTGGTCACGAGTGATTGCATGCCTTCCTGCAAATCATTCCAAGGTTTACTTCTCAATAACCTGAAATATACAAGCATTTTTTTCCTGGGCTTATTCAGCAGTCAATTGTTTTATGATGGAATGAGAGACCAAAACTTTGCATAAAACTTATTTACATACAGACGTGGAAAGTTCAGGTTCAGAAAGTATAAATCCAGACCACGATTTTGTTTCAACCAACCACTTGAGTATAGAGTCACAGTCAACTGGTACTCAACTGGTTGGTTGAAACACAATCTTAGTACTATTTGTGCTTTCAATTTCCACGTTTGTTTACATATAGATGATGTTCACCAAAATGGCCAGGACTTTTGTGAATTCATTGCAGTCGTGTTGTCCCCACCAGAGAAGGATGTCGAATTGAGAACGTGCAAAAGAACATTAAGTGCAGGAAGTATGCTTTCAACTCGCTTCAGCTGCTGGCTTTTCCCAAGTGCTACAGACCTCCAGATGGGACATATGGAAAGGCTGAAACTTGACATACAGACACACCCACTAAGAACAAAGTGGCCACTGTGATTGTGCAAGAGGCCATATTGTCTTCCATTCATTTCATGTGCATATGTTTGTCACACTCCTCTGACAAATGCTGAATGCCAAATTTGAAGCATCCCTTCATTAAATATATCGACAGACAAATGCCCTTTTTAATATTGTAGTACTGAATTACTTGTGAGACTGAGTATTGTATATATTGTGGATGTTGCTGCACGTCTTCTGTATAACTATACTGTTGTGTACATAATGTGTTGTTTATTGTGTACATTTTTCCTTGGAGAAGCTTGAAGTAAACATTGGCAATGCTGTTTATACCGCCTTGTACGTCAATTTTTACATGATTCTCTGTCTAGATCAGAGGTGGACAGAAAGGGCCGCTCTGTGTGCGGGTTTTCAATGCAACTCCCTAATTAGATTACTAATCAGAGGACTGACTGGCTGAAGAGTCCTCACACCTGTGCCCTGTACTACAAAGCGGGGTTAATGGCTTTCCGGGGTAACTTGTCGGATTTAAGGTAGTCTGGGCAAAATGTAAGTGAGCGAATATGAAGTCCATTTGAACTGTGGTACCTAAAATCTGAAAAGTTACCCCGATAAGCCAGTAACTCCGCTTCGCAGTACAGGCCACCGGTTTTGAACAGCTGACCTAAAGGTTACCCAGAAAACCTCCATACACACTGGCCCTTTGTGGGCAAGACCGGCCAAACCTGGTTTAGATGATCAACTCTGGTTCTCCGGTGTTTGTATACATATTTGTATACATATGTGGTCAGGGAGATTCAGCAGAAAACCACACAGGAATGTATTTTGTGTCTGGAAAAGGCCACCATTCCACGCTAAATTCATATGGCTCTGATTTCCCCTACATTTCCTGTGAAAATGATGAAAGTAATGTTCCAGGAAGAGGGCTGTGCAGAGGGGATTTTTCCACACTGGGCAAAAGGTCTGTGTGTATGAAACCAACAGCAGCTCAGATTCCCAGCCTTCTTAGAACAATGTCTCCCAACCCGGTCCTTGGTGACCCCCAGTCGACCCACCTTTTTGCTCCCTCCCAGACAGTCCACATTTTTGCTCCCTCCCAGAGAACTGAATCAGTATACGGTCTTCCCTCGATGATCAAGAAACCTTGATATTTTTGAGCCTTGTTGTTCCTGTTCATATTTTATAAAAAGACACATTAGCTTGACTCAGACAATTTTTCGGATACTGTGGTGTAAACAGCAGTACAGTGTAACATCTTATCCTCTTTCACCATCTTTTCCCATTTGCTTGGAGAAAAGCCATAAAAGGCAGCGGGACTCTGTGATGTCGTAAGTAGGCAGCCATCTTGAGGGGGGGGGGGGGGGGACTGCTGTGCCTGGTCCAGCCACCCCCTCTGACGCAAACACTGCCCCCCACCAGGGTGAAGTCGTACTCCTTCCCCAATCCCCAAAGCACTTCTCAAAAGACAAACTGGTTCATGCATCACAGTACAGCAACAACTTCTTGCATCCATTTAAAAACAATTTAACTGCAAAAGGCTCCCAAACTAGGTAGCGATTAGACCAGCTTTGCTCTAAAACTGACAAGGATCACTGTGTGAAACACACAACACGACTACAGAAAATCAACTTTAACTTGACAGAAACAAAGACATATTATACAGTGTTATTTCACACTTACTGTGCTACGTTATGAACTCTTTATAAATATGTCAAATCCATCTAAAAATATTGAAGCATTTGAATCTTCATATTCTTCACATTGTGGGCAGTCACTCTTCTCCACATTCTGGAAAAACCCAGGCAGAAATACCTCACAATTGATATTAACTATGTTCATGCTTGTCGTTGATATTCTGTTAAGATTTTTGGTCTTTAGTTCTTACCTTGGATGAATAATTCTTGAGGTCCTCCCAGAAAGTATCCATCGAAACATTTGCGTCATGCATAATTACTTCCAGTTCCAGAACAAAACAGAGCATCATGTGCCAGGTGCACTGCAAAAACAGCAGTATATAACAACACTGGAAATAGTGACACCTCAGAACTAGCCAATGAACAACCCCCCCTGAGTAGCTTACTGAAATACTGTAAACTGATGCACAGAAACTGATAGACAGATGAATGATGGAATGAAAATGCTTACATTACTGTTATATTTTACTGGAGTATAATAAGTCCCACTGTAGGAAGATGTAGTGTTCTGCAGCTTGAGATAAAAGATGCATCACAAATAATGATGAACAAACAAACATTTCACTTGTGTTATTCATTACTTGTTCCTTCAGTAGTTCACGAACCTTTACAGAATTAACAGATAAAAAGTAAAAAAAAAATAAAAATACTGCTTGAGATAAAAGATGCATCATGATTCATTAATGATGAACAAACACGAGATCAGTACGTCAGGCCATTCAATATTTGTTCCTTCAATAGTTCATAAAGGTTGACAGAATTAACAGATATACAGTAGTAACCAATTCAGTAATGACTTGAAGTAATAGATATGTCACTATTCACTAATTACCCACGAACATGAGATCAGTATATAACTAAGAAGTTTGTAGTTAGTTAATAAATAACTCCCAGCATAATACCACGTTATTTGTGACCTCGCAAGCAGTGTTTACCATTTGCTATTAATATTCTTAAAAGTGTAACAGATGTCCATGTTTCTGAACGTGAAACTAATTTCAATAAACATTACAATCCGAATCCGTGCATCGTTCGTTTTTCTGTATAAAACCGAAAGTAAAAAAAAAAAAATTTGTAAAATACTGGTTTCCAAAACCAATGTGAGAAATCGGATAACGACTTGAATAATTTAGAATCTTACTTGAAACGCCTCTCGCTGCTTATTCAGACGTGTGATTATTTCTTTAAAATCGGGTGCCACCGTGTCTCCCAAACATTCACCCAGACAGCTGAAGGAGAAGAATCAAATTAACCAGCAGAAGTTCAGCAGAACCACCAGCTTAGTCTAACCCCCGCCTTCACTACTCTTTTACTCGAATAGTTCTGCCGAATTTTGCTTTGACATAAGTCCAAAGAAATGGAAGCATTATAATCGGAATCCGGACAGAGAATTTGATTAGAAATAAAAATACTTCCGATTTAAACAATAAATAGATATTGTCAGTTCTTCAAGTTAAACCATGCCCATGTAGATTCATTATGTTTTCAATACAATGTTCAGAAGAAATTACCTTAGGATACAGTATTGAATCCAAACATCTCCTTTAAAGCGCTGGCAATGGCGTAAGAAGAATCCGCCGTGTCTCACACTTTTCTGGAAATAAATTGTAACACGCGTACCTTGCAAAAAGTAGCCAACACTGGTGGGGGATTTAAACAGCCTGAAGTTACCGCTGCTGATATTCACCTTTATTTCCGGACTTTCTGAACAGTCGCACTGTGTAACTTAACGCTACTAGAAGGTTTTACGCTTTGGCACCGAAGCTTATTTCTAGACGCCAGTGCGTCCTTAGCTTTGTATAAGGCGATAAAGCAGCATGCTGGTGCCCGTCAACACGGTCCATGTTAAACAAAGAGGAAAACTGTGCATTTTACCTTTACTGAGCAATCCCGCAAAGTACAGAGCTTCGCTAAGATAAAAAAGCAGTGTATCAGCAAAGCACTCATTAGAAAAGCGGATATATTTCACGGTTAGATTCAATCAGACATTGATGCTCACTGCATCACTGGTTTGACGGAGTCTCCCCTCTCCATATCCCCTGCTACAGCGACCTAAATTCCAGTTTCATGGTACAACCACCTACACAGGACTTCCCGATGACGCCTGGAGCTAAACACCCGCCCAGGATCACCCCAAGTATACCTTGCTGCAGCATTAGGGATGGGGCGGGGCAAGGTGCCACTCATTTACCATATACGGGTGCAATGACGTTAATGGTACAACAGGCCGTTCAGGGGGTTAGGTTTAGGATTAGAGTTAGGTTTAGGATTTAGGTTAGGGTTACAGGATTTAAAGATGGCAAAACACACGGTGAGCATTAGTTGTTGTTTAGGCTGTTGTGTCAAAATATATTCTTGTTAAAATTTTTAAATGCCTGGCAGTTGCAACATTCCTCATAATTTAAGTAGTAATGTAAATGTGTATATTTTCCACGCTCTGATCAGTCAGTCTGGAAGGATCCACTAAATGGGGCTGGCTGAGAAATGCATGGCACGCACTATATACTGCCACACCTATACGGAGTGAGAGATCGGCGTGAGGACAGGCTTAGGAACTGAAACGAGCTTTATGATGAAATTACAATGACATGCGACGAAGCCGATGTCGCCAACTCGAAAAACCTCTCATGTTTAACTTTCCCCTCAGTTAAGCCTTTGGGACATTCTACCAGAAGCATATATTTCGACTGGGGGAAAAAAAGATATTTTTCTTGCAGCGGAACATTGTGTCATTTGGAGGACATGTTAAATTATGAGAAGCACATATCATGCCATCCCAATATGTTTTTATGCTTCAATAAAGTACATTTTAAAGACATGTCAACTCCTAAAATATCAGGAATATTAGAATGGTTTCCTAATGAGTTTCTTTGATACAAATAGCATTTTCTTATTGATCACACATCACTGGTTGTATCTAACATGATTTTGTGGTTTCTGTAAGAAAGTTAAGCAGCTTTTCGCTAATTTGTCTTGAACTTATAATTGATTCAAATAAAATCTTTTATTTTATGAATGTAATTACGGTAATTCCTAGACTCCCTGCCTCTCGTCAGCTTCTCCATGTTCCATTACCATATTACCACTAGGTTAACAGTGCCACCTAGTGCCAATGCACTTAATTACGCTCAGGGTAATACAACAAAACGCAATACAATTTTCAACTCACTTTCTCAAGCAATTAGAAAGACATTAGCGTAAATGTGGAAAGACTGAGTAGTATTAAAGAATGTGCGGCATTTTTTCCAAACGGCGTGCCATAGACATTAGCCCGGCTGAATTATATACCCGTGTACTGTGGGAGGGGCATTGATCGTTTCTAGTGGTGATTAGAGGGTAATTCGTGGGTGTGATTGGGTGCATTTGGATAGGATGTGTGCCTTTATGTATTTTCCAGTACCTAGCCCCTGCCACTTGTAGCTCTGGTCCCCTGGATCATCGTGATGGAAGGTATTTGATATTTAATGTTCGATGCCCTGTCCTATAGTACAAAGCAGTTGGTGTAATATTTAGACAGGCACTAATTTTATTTTAGATTGCAAATGTACTGAAATGTGTCGCCCATCTGTCTGTGGTTGGTATCCCGCAAGTTGGCCAGCTTAATTTTATAGCACATTCGCTGCTGATGGATTTGCGTTGCCTCTCACCGGAGCCGTTCGCCTCCATTTGGATTTCCAAGCTGTGGTCTCTGGTCCCCTTGCTCCGTTAGGAGTGTGACTAGCGTGTGTCCAGTTGCCATCTTTTTATTGGGGGTCGGTGGCTTATTGATCAGGTCTGCTCTGGGGAATATCAGGCGGTACCTTGAAGATTACTGGCCCACACAGAGGGGTGGCACTTGAATTCCCTGTGAGCTTTTTATGTGTTTTTTGTGTATTGTGGTCACATTGGGAGGTAGGTCATCTGGTGGACGACCTTAGTGTGTGTGTGTGTGTGTGTGTCTGTACATGTACTTGCCAGCCTGCCTCCCGCTGCCGAATACCTGCTGACGTTATATTCTCCTTTTTTAGTGCGTGTGTCAAGATTTTCATGCTGTGGTGGTTGGGTTCTTTTGTGTTTTGATTTTCTTGTTTTGTTTATCTTTATTTTTTATAAAGTATTTGGCCATTTTTGTAGAATTCGCTTACTCACAACGAACCTTTTGGTAAGCCTTGTTCGCTGGGTGTTGTCCCAGGGTGGCATATTCAGCTACATTAGTCACTTCTTGGAATGTCATTGACACTCCTGTGGTGACGCCACATAGACAGATCGTATTCAAGGTTCAAAGGTCCAAAGGAATTGCATAACTATAATTCCCACAATGCAATAAACATGTCAGTTAACACAAACATCAAAATTTCAAGCTTTTGTTTATTTGAAATGGCAATCAGAGAGTGGCTGGTACTGGTTTGATGCAAGGAGGATCCAAGTATGGCATATGATAAACAGGATTCTAAACACATATCATAGTAGAAAGGCAAAACCAAAGTAAAAAAAACCCCAAAATATCTATCCGAGAGGTACAGAGTAAGGCGAATACACGTGCAGGCACTGAGGGACCCAGGCACTCACACTGAGGGATGGGTTAGGACACACACACAGGAGGAGATACAGGCAATCGGGAGAAAACAGGATAAGTAAGTGTTCTGAACTGAGTCATCGATAACTAATGCAATAAGGAAATCAGCTAGACCGGTTAAATCTGGTAATTAACCTAAATGATCCACCATCAGCTGTGATGGGTTGGCGCCTCACTCTGGGTTGTTCCCTGCCTTGCACCCATGGACTTCAGGATAGGCTGTGGACCTCTGTGACCCTGGATAAGACATGCGGTTACAGAAAATGGATTGATGGATGGATGGATGGATCCACCATCAGCATTCAGAGGAGTTAGGTGCTGCAGATGCTGCAGGGGAACCAGGCTCCTGAAGAGGCAGCCACAGGCAGAACAGGTGCTGAATTAGAGGGGAGCACCAGCAAGACAGCAGGTGAAGGATTAGGCACCTGCAAGAAGTAAGCAGCAGGTAAGGTGTCATGGCGGTCTGGGAATCAACACAGCTGACAGGGAGACAAATGATTCCAGAATAGCAAAGCGGCCTCCTCTGGGCCGGGCACCGAAAACTCGGACGAAGTAGCATCCTCGGGGCCTGGAACATGTGCTGTGGACCTGGCCTCCTAGAGCCCTGGATCGGGCGTTGCAGAAGCGGCACCACGGAAGTGGCTGGCGCAACAGGCACTGGAGAAGGGGCTGGCGGAACAGGCACTGGAGAAGGGGCTGGCGGAACAGGCACTGGAGAAGGGGCTGGCGGAACAGGCACTGGACAAGTGGTCTCTTCTGGGCCAGAGACTGGAGACATGGACAGGAGTTCTTTGGGGCCTAGGTTGGGCTCTGGAGGCAGGTCAGTCGCTGCCGGTGGTGGGGCAGCAATCAGATCAATCGCTGGCGGCGGTGGGGCAGCAGGCTGGTCAGTCGCTGGCGGCGGTGGGGCAGCAATCAGGTCAGTCGCTGGCGGCGGTGGGGCAGCAGGCTGGTCAGTCGCTGGCGGCGGTCGGTTCAGCAGGTTGGTCAGTCGGCACTTCTTCCAGCGATTGACCTGCCTGCTGCTAACTTGCATCATCTCACTAATAAAAAAGATTTTTCCTCACCAACCCTGAGTTTGTGACATTTTCCCTACTTTGACCGAAGGCAGAAGGGTCGTTCAGAGTTAAATTTTTTCTTCCACAGTACAAGACCATTTGCATATATACACTAAATCATTTGGAATCTTCCCTAGTCCCTGTTTTTTAATTGTTCTATATGAATTATGGTGGAATGTATCACAACACACCCATGTAATGCGCCTTAGGGTGACTGATGCCAAAGGTGAGATATTGTGAATTGAACTGAATTGAAATGTGATTGAAACAATTACAATGATCTGTTGTGCACAATTGACATCATAGTGTGGGGATTATGCTTGTTATTTGTCATTTGGGAAATTTGCCAAAGCAATAAAGAAAAACTGCATTACACTGATAAACGACATAATCCACTTTCTCCCATTTAAGCAACTGAAAATTATAAAAATAAATCATAAAAAATTCTATATATGTACTTAAGCATTTGTAAATTGAGATGTTGTTCTGCTGTGCAGGAGTGACATCAAGGTGTGGCGATTACGCTCATTGTTTTGTAAATATAGTCATTTGAGGCAAAGCAATAGAGTAGGACTGTAATGATGAGCTTACATTACATGGGGGGTCTGGTTGGCTCTGTCATTTTGTCCATGCTAATGGTGCTCAGCGCTGCTCCTGTATGTTGATGTTGCTCTTCTAGGTTACAGGGAATCCTCTCCTCTCGCAATAATACCACAGCTAGGCGTTTTGAGGTTAAAATCCACGCCTGGGAACAGCTCAGACTGGCCTGTAATGCGACCCTGGAGGTGCGGAGCTGTCAGGTTAACCCTACCGACCTGGAGGCCGAGGCTGGAGCACGACGTCCAGCTGCCAGAAAGAGTGCAGGCCACATTATGGCAGAGCAGCCCAGCTGGGCACCAAACCAGACTTCTGCACAAGGGGAGAGGGTGACCCAGTGGATGGAGGCTGCTACCCTGTTCGTGGGAACTGGTTGGTTTGGGCTACCAGGAGTGAGCAGTGAAGGGCTATCAATTACACAAAAGCCACTTCCTCTCGAGGGAGGAGAGGACCGGAAACCTGGTCCACCAGAGAGAGCGTCTCCCCCCATCCATTACCCCATCTGGATCTGCCTCGTCTGCTCTGCGCTTTAAAACTCAGGTCAAACTGTCCTACTGCGAAACACTTTGACCTCTTCACCGAGCATGAAACATTACATTTACGTTTTTTCAGCCGTGCTGGTCCTGTTTCCCTATCTGTGCCAAAACTGGCTTTAACACAGATTAAGTGCCTGAGTGATTGATTTTGTTGACGTTAAGTTGGCCGATGAGAAGCAAAATCCAGAGCATCTCGTACCATAGGAAGACTGCGCAGATACCTCCCATTACATGTGTCAACAGGGCTAAACATCTGGAAGCTTCTGCCACAAGTGGACCGACTGGGTGTAGAAACACGTCCATGGACTTAGTAATGGAAACTCCCTTGTCCACTGAAGCCATCGGGAAAGTCGTCACCGATGTGGCTCAGCCAGCGTCTCACGTTGGATCGACTGGGAAATTTTCCCATATTGACGGTATTTCCGGCCGGGAATCTGGAAACCCCAGGTGCAGTGTCAAATCCCAGTGCCTGACCAGTGAAATTTATTTGGTAAGTCAACAGTAATGAGAATCTGGAGTCTTGAGTCTTTGATGGGTGTAATAGTCTTGGCTTCACTGGGAGGTTCCAGAGAGAGGTATCAGACAATTAGGCCGCAGCACCAGATGTTGGTTCTAATGGATACAGTCTCCATGTGGACTTTATTCTGACCCACATCCAGCAAGTGCATATGGGCCAAATTCATTACCCACGTCAGTGTGGCATGGCCTGTTCCTGGGCGGCACCTGGTGCCCTTCAGATAAAGTTGTGTGGATCGAGGAAGGTTTATTTTCTAAGAGAAGTGTAATTCTTTATGTCAGCATTTTCCCCAAGGCTATAACCTTTCAACCAGAGGAGTTCACGGGACTATAAATGGCTCTCTGAGTGTGGTATTTAGAAAAACAACAATTGATTACACAATGGCTCTTCCACATCTATAAGTCAATGTTCATCACTGGTTCCCTCCACCCAAATATTTATCCTAATGTAGGTCCTGTATTAAGTTTAAATAAATCCCTGTGCAGAAATGGCTCATGACGCTTCATGGTGGACTACAGAAGCATCGTCAAATGTTTCCTTTTGAAAATATAAGGCATTTCCATGTTCTGAAGCTTCACTGGAGGTTAAAGTTCTTCCAGCTTAGTCTCTGACATTAACATCTGATCATTGCCCTCAAAGCTCCTGTAAGATTTCAGCTTCCTGTGGAATTTCTTTGACAGTAATTTCCACAGTACAATTTTCTGGGACAAAGAAAACACAGTACTATGATCCACTTCAGGAAGTAATGTCTCTAAAACTCAGCTTGGCTACATTAAAGCTCAGTGGAATTTAGGAGGATTTCAAACCTTTTCTGGTGACCTGCGGCTTTCTGAACTGCTATGGGATTTAAAACCAAAGATTGCCTTCTGTCCACTCTGATACCTATAATCTGAAATTGATTTAATAAAGATCTTTCACATTTTAACAGCCTGTGATACCCAGCCGTCACCCACAGAACATTTTACTCCACATAAAGAGCAAAACGACTCATTCCTGCGGCACCCCTAGGTTTGGGCTCAGATCCTCTCCTCTTCAGTCTGCAGGACTCTTTCATATTGTTCTGCATGATAGCAATATCTGATTTAGATTCAGCCACTTGTATAGCCAGCTGTGTGAAGCATTTCTACAGAAGCATTTGGATTAATACCCTTGATCTGACTCTGACTACAAGTCTGTACCCCTAAACATAGAACGATGAAGTTTCACATTTAACTAGCAGAAGACCTTACTAAAACAAAATAAATGGATAAAATAGAAATAATAATGGCCGTTTCTCAATGACGTTAAACAAATAAGTGTTACTATGGAAGTACAAGTTATGAACAAATGATGAACAAATATAGTTGCTATTTGCAATAAAAGATGCATCATGATTCATTAATGATGAACTAACACAAGATCAGTATTTCACTTGTCATTCATTACTTCTTCCTTCAGTACTTCCTTCAGTAGTTCACAAAGGGTTACAGAATTAACAGATATAGCAACAAATATAGTAACTGCTTGAGATAAAACATGCATCATGTTTCATTAATGATGAATTATCATGAGATCAGTATGTAACTAAGACTTTGTGGTTAGCTAATACATAAGTAATGGCATAATGCTATATTATTTGTGCCCTGCCAAGTGACGTGTTACCAAAACTGTGTATGCGTACTCTAGCTTTTTCATTTATGTTTCTAACTGAATCTAAGCAAAACCTTGATATTACACCTACTGTAACTATATGTCCCTCACTATCCTTATGCCTAAATCACACTAACTGCTAACTTGTTTCACTAATACAATTGGATTTCACATAATAATGATCGCCAAACTACTCGCTCAAGCCAACAAAACAAAGTTTTTTCTTTCACCGTGAACAATGACACAGCGGTCACCGGTATTTCGAAACATTTCATAAACTCCGTATCGAGAGTTCGAGACCAGAAGTTTCGGATGTCTTCGGTACGGATCGATATTGGGTGCAGAAATTGCCATCTCTAGTTTTTTGGTGTGTTCTCAAGCAAAATATTCTCAACGGCACAATAATAAGACACAAGCACTCAAATACTATCGTACAAGTACTAAAAGCTTGATGTACTGAAAATAAGTTTTGTGATATTATTATTATGTGATATTTTAGTCACAATTTAACAACAATTTGTTGTATGTACTCAAAACCAGAGAAGTCCAAGTACCTAATGCTAGTCTTTCCCATATAAATGGCTTTCCCAAGCTTCACTATCAACTGTGTCTAGGTCTCAAAGGTAAAAAGATGGGATATGTGAAAAGAAGCATTCCGATGTACTTGTGCAAACGAAACATCGTTTCATTTTATCAGTGTAACTTGATGGGAATCTGAAGACAAGACAGGTTCAAAGGCCTGTGCAAAACACACCCGCTGTGCAAAGTATGATGGAGAAATCAAGCCCAATTTATACAACCACATGGAACATAATCTGTCCCATGTTTGCTATATTATGTACACGCATACAACAGTAGGTGAAATACTGCAGACATGGTTTTGAAGTTTTTATTTTCTTTTGTTAGTGTGACAGTAACTCCTTATGGCTTTCCATAAACTAAATATGGTCCTTTGTTAATTAACAAATTATTGGATACTGAACTCATAAATATACAACACAAAGAAGATATTGGACAGAGATGGAGCATTATCAGATATATCTGTGTTACAATGAGTGTCTTAAGTAACCTTTAGCCACTCATTCTGCATTAAATTCTGGCCACAAAATTTAAATGAAGTGATGTAAAATGACGTAACATTTTAAATTAATTCAGCTAATCAAAATGACTGAAAGTAGCCAACAAGGAAATTAGTGAATTAACGTGTAAATTCGAGAAATGCGCTAATAGAGCGACTCAACTGAAAAGCAGTGTGGAAACTGGATTTGGATTTCAACGCCGTTTTTTCCATGGTGAAATCGTATATCCTTTCACATCAGTAGAGGGTGCCATAATACTAGCAAAGGTAGATGGCACGGACGTTTTGTTTACGTTATGCGTTTCATATATGCATATAATCCACACATTAACTGCGTGAACTGTGTATACTATTTTTTTTCAACAGAAGGCATTTCTTACGAAGGTTAACATCGCTTAATTGTGATAACAGTGACATCATTCAGTCATTAATTTGTCATTAACATAATGTTGGGCCTCCTTCCAGCAACAGGGCATCTAGCCAAGCAGTCAAATATCCTGTTTCTCTTACTAACTCGCTTAAACAATAACTTAACAAGAAACGAAAGCACAGCCTTTATCCTTAACCCTGACTATATAATCAGCCACTTTCCTTTTGAAGAACTCTGAGTGAATTCAGCTGAAAGTAAAGACCTCAATATGTTCCACTTTGTGCATGACCATCAAGGAATTGGAAACTAGATTAAAACTGGGCTTTTAATAGAATATTCTGGTCCCTTGTGATATTCTTCAGAAATGACATCCTCCGTCTCACGGGTCATTAATCAGAGTGTTTGCTAGATGTGATGTGCAGGAGTTATTAAACAGGCTCTCCTCCCCATGTGTGAGCCTACGTCATTTGTTTTTCCGTAGCAGAGAACTTCCCGCAATTAAATCACTTAATCCCCAGAGCACAGATGCAGACCACACTGCAGGTGTTCATTTGCTGCCTCTCCCTGAACAGCAATACTTTATTCTGTTAATACAGTGGAAAGTGCTTTTAGTGATCACGGTTATAGTGATCAACCATTTATATGGATCAAAAAGCTTGGGACAGAATCATTCCTGTACAAATACTGTTTAAATAATTTGTTTATAGTAATGAAGCAGTCTGCTTACAGTGCTCATTTTGGGTTTATTTAAACATGACAACATATGAAAAAATAAAAACTATGGATTTTTATTTATTTATTTATTTTTACTTTACTTTGATAAGCCTACTTTACCCGCCTGCTACTGGCTAGCTATCTGAGGCTAATGCTACGGGCCCGGAAAGTCAAAAGAAAGCTTATGATAAACTGTCAAAAACGAGCTGAGATGCAGCGAAATCACGGTAAGCTATATTTTACATACAGTACTGTACGTATTATAGCGCATTTGAGTTATACAGTTCAATGACACGTACTGTAATTTGAGTGTTTTAAAAAGCTGTACTGAATTTTGAAAGAGCCAATAAAATTAAGTAAATAGTGACGCTGTCCGTTCTATTACTTTATATTCATGTAATAAATATACAATCTTAGTTAGCTGGTAATCTGCCTGAGACAGAAAGAAAAAGGGAAAATCAGTTATAATGATCATCCACTTTCAGTGATCAGTCAGTTTCACCCAGACAGATGTGATCATTATGAGTGGTTTCCACTGTATTTACAAGTAATCTGATTTTTTATTTTTTTGGGACCATGACCATTGGGATCCGCTGTATGACAAGATTTGATGTAAATAATTTGAATTTATAAGCCCTCTAGATCCTTGATTTCTATCCACAGTGGCCTATCCGGTGTGCGATTACCTTACTTATTGGACAAATATCTGTGGTGTGATTTTTATGAACTATGATATATGAGCGTATTTCGTGGAGTAAGTAGTGAATTTAGAGCCAAAGCCTGCGGTTTGGGGCTGCGGCATGTGGTTTAGTAGGGGGCACCGTAGACAACATGGTAAACATCTTGGAATAAGCAGAAAGTGACATCAGCTTACATAAGGAGAAACAAACAAGATCCAGTCAGCAGCAGCACCTGAAGTCACAGGGTCAGAATTTTGATGAGGAGTTTCAAGTGATTTACTCACGATATTCATTTTTCATTTAATATATAGTGTGGAATGTAATGTCAGCAAATTCAGTCATGTTAAAAGAACTCACAAGCAATACAACACACACACACACACACATCAAATGACTCTTTTATTCTTCTTCTGATAACATTCTGCCGTGGCAGTAATGACCAGGTATCACGATATTGTTACGATATCTGTGAAACGCTGATGATTGCTTTTTATCTTGTATAATAATATAAAAAGGACACTATAAGTGTTCTTGATGTTGCTGCATTGTCTTTCCCAGAAGAATAGCCCAGAATATTAAGAAAGCAGTCAAACTGAAAGTGGAAAGAACATTTCTCATGGAAAATGTGAATATGAACCGTATATCTGTGCGGAGTTACTATTCATAACTGTATTCTCTTTCATGAATTTCTGTTTCAGCTCTTCTGTTCTTAGTTCCTCATAAACAACAAAGGCCAACAGAACCAGACCTGCGGACCCCAGCACATCAGCCCCATAGCCTAGTCTTAACGCCAGAACCTGGTCTGAAATTAGTGTCAAAAATCATAGCTGTATGTCACACAAAATTTGCCCCGTTAGTTCTTATTTATGACACCCTAAATACTGGTTTAACATACAATGTCTTGTATTATTTGTGTGAAATACTTTCTAAACCTACTAAGGGTAACATTAAGAAGTGTTTTAAGGTAATGTTTCTGAACAGATCCTTCCAGAGTGTTGCTGGGTAATACAAAAAAAAAGATTACCATATTAAAAAAAAAATCTTTTTCTGTCCTTATTGAAATATGGCATCAAACGTTTGTTCTACTTACGTCTCATCTAACTTTCAAGTTCCTCTGTATCTTCTTAGAAAAAATCAATGTACAAACATGTCATTACAATTACCCATGTTTCTGAGTGGGTTTCAACAAAAGGTATTTTAATAAGTCAGTTTCAGTCCATTCAGAAGGCGCAGAAAATAAATACAATCAGATGTGAAACCAAAACATACGGACCAGCAGAAAGCCGTTATTCCAGACCTAATGTGAAGTTAATGCCGTGAACTATTCCAATTATGATAGGTTGCCATGCAACAAGGTAACGCAGCCAGTCCAAAAGCTGACCGTACAAAACGTGTGTCCGCTCCCAGCTGATCGAGGAGATTAAGGATTATTACACACGTTTTAAAGGCTTCATAATGTATATGAGGCGTGACCTTTGCTCAGGCTTTGACTGAATATCGCAATTTTAACAGACACTAGGCTATATGACTTATAAAAGTACATTCCATAGTACAGCAGAAAAGTTCACACATTACACAATATATCAGAGATTGAGTTATGGTTTAAAAGTAAAATGTAAGAAATCATTTTAATTCTTTAACATTTAACCAACTGCAGATATTTTTGGGGAATGAATGAACAAACTAACGAGGAGTTTCAAAGGATACGGATTATTCATCATCCTCTGAAGGTCGACTTTCTCGTTGCAATAGGGACAGGTCTGCTTCTTACCCACAATGCACCATCCCCGGATGCAGAATTCATGGAATCTTTTGATGGTAGCAGTTAAGAAATGCATACGAAAATTAAATAACATAGGCACAGCATTCACTGTCCCAGTGAAACAGATGCTCAGAGTTAAAGTGCGGGTGTCTGACACGCTTCAGTAATATTTATATCTTTCTCTCCAGCTCCATCATGGACTCACAAGTACAACTACGTGCCAAACAAATGAGGTTAGTGACTCCAGGGGAATTCCTATGAAAAAAAGCCTTATGCAAGGCTAATCAAAAAGACATTTATTGTGGTCTTGAAAATTACTTACATAGACATTTGAAAAGACAGTATTAGTACCAGGAATTAGTGAGTGTGTTAGCTGTCTTTAATCTGAACCTGGTCCGCTTCAGTAATTTCAGCACATTTCTGGAAAGAAAAACATGTTTTGGCCAAAGGATGCATGTGATTGCATGACAGCTGATATGTGTCCTCGATGATTCCTTCTTCATTGACATCCACCAGAATCTTCTGGCCACACACTGCACAGATGTCGTGGCAGAGGCTCCTGGACGGCACCCCCCCGCCGCTGTAGTACTGAAACAGAGCGCAAAGGGCCGCAGGCTGACATATCCCAAGCTGAAGTGGGTCCTGGACGCAGGATACACCCGACATCGACAGCAATAAGGGGACCTGGGTTAGGATCTGAAACACCTGAAATCGGGGCAGTTAAAGGACGGCCATGCTCACCCCGATTGTTGAAGCCATGTAATCCGAGCATATCTCTGCAAAGTCCCGACCCATGACCCCATAGTATAAGCCATAAAACAAGAGAATGACGCCAACATCCATTGAGTCTTCTGCTTTAATTCTGTGGAAGAAAGAAACAAACAAACGAAACAAACAAACAAACAAACACGGTCAAGGATAATCTGTGTGAAAGGCAAAAAGCAAACATCTGAGAGAGATCGTGTCCATGAAAGCCGACGGGCATCAGCAGGGCAAAGAGAAGCTTCATGCAGGCAGGCGTACCTGAAGAACACGTTAAACCCGAACATGGTGAACATGATGGCAAGGTAACCCACGACCCCCACCGCATAGCTCAGCTTGTAGATGAGAAGGAACCACTTATACACCATCCTGGGAAAAGCAAACGAAAAATCGAAGGGATCGCAGGAACGGTTTGATCCACCCACTTATCCAGCACAACAGAGGTACCAGCTAGGCTAACTGCATGTCTCTGGCCTGTGGAAGAAGGGAGAGAACATGCAAACTCCACTCCCATAGCAGAGATGGGATTTGAACACCCAACCATGGAGGTGGAGATGACAGCGCCCCCTACTGGCGTACTCACATCTGAAAGATCTCCATACCAAAACAGAATGGGACCCCAAGCATGAGTGATATTTCATGTGATTCTTCCACATGTCCTCTTCAGCCGTCATCCCCCCCGAAGGTCCACGGTCAAGCGTGGTACGTACCGCGGCGTCCTGCCAGACAGGGGTTTCCGGGTGGCTCTGAAGATGACGTAGCTGGTTATGACCGAGAACATCCCCCACGTGGAGAGAAAGCGCCACCAGTACAGCTTCATGGTGAAGTACAGTGGGACCACCCACATCTGGAGCAGGGTCACCAGCTGCCACAGGAACAGGCGTCACCAGGCAAGAAGAGCAAATCCATCCATCCATCCACCCATCCATCCATCCATGCCTTTCTAATAACTTCTTCTAGAACATCACTGCTCATCCATGCTCCTGGACATTTAGCACCCTGCAGAGCTTAGCTTCAGCACAGCTGTCTCTAATACTGAGGCACTACAGAAGGACCTGATTATCTGCATCAGGTGTGTTAAAGCTACGCACTGAAGGGAGCTACATCTGCAGGAGCTGCAATGAGCAGCATGATCCAGGACATCTCCCAGAATGCACAGGGAGAAAACCTGAAGGAGATATTCGTGATTATCAGCATCACCTGCCTGCCCTCTGCATTTAGACTCAAACCTTAAAATTTGTACTGTGGAAATTAGGATTTTGCCCCCTCTGCTTTCCCTCTTAGTCTGATTCCTCCCAAAGTTTCTTCCCTCTTGGAAGTTTTTCCTTGTCACTGGAGCCTATGGCTTACTCACTGGGGGCTTTGGGCGGTGATGCTGTAAAGCGCTTTGAGACGATGTAATGTTGTGAAAATGCGCTATACAAATAAAACTGAATTGAAATTTAGTTGAATTAGTCTGTCACTCAACAACACTGAGGGTTTTCCATCAGAAGGAAGAGCTACAGAATGGCCTGGTACAGTTTTATATTTTTAAATTGTTAATGCAACTTCACAAAGTTCCCTTAACTCAATAGCAGTAACGGAATATTTTGTAAGCTATCGTAGTTTAATTTAATTTTCAACAAAGTAATTCAGCTGCCCGTTCCATGGTCTTTTTGTGGTACAAGTGGAAAGTTGATGTACAAAGGAACGATGTCAAGTTGGAAAGCAGAAAAGGTACGGTACCCAAGCGAGAGTCAGACCCTATCAGCCGATGACAGAAAGGCAGGCGAGTGGAAGAGGGTGGCCACTGGCTGTAAGTAACGGCGAAAAGCCCTCAGCACCAGCACAAAAACACGCAGTGCGGTCTGTGCGGAGACGGCCGGACTCACGCTGTAGGACCGACAGTGCCTCTGCTTCCACTGCACCAGCACGACCTGGGCCACCAGCAGGGCGGCGATGAGGATGAGGACCATCTCGGCGTGCATGGCCTCATGGCCACGGTGCTTGACGTGCAGCTTCTCATGCTGTATCCTGTGCAGGAGGAGGAGACGAGAGCTATGTGACGGAAAACAGCATCACGTTGTGCAATGTGCAATGACGGCCTGTGGGAGGCGCCACACTACTCCAGAGGATGATGGTGGTGATGAACAGGGTGGTCAGTCTATCGTACTCTGAGGGGTCTCTGAGTATGGCTGTGAGTAACCCTAACACGCCCCCGGCGGAGCCCACAGCAGCTCAGGACGCAGCTGACACAGCAACTCTGACATGGCAAGAATCTTAGAAAGTCTTTTAACTCCGGTTGGTTTAAATGCCACTTACTTCCAGTTTTCTCTATGGGTCATTTTCAGAATATCACCCTGGAAGAGAAATGCAAATGTTAAACTTTTATTAACACTACAGCCATAATTATTCACACACACACACACACACACACACACAGGTTTTCTTCCTCTTGACTGGAACTTCTCTCCATGATGTAATATACTGTGTCATTTTTAAACTGCCCACTTTCTTAGGATTACCCTGGGATTAAACTAATTAAATGAACACACAGATATCAAACCATTTCAGGCCGGCTCCTCCCATGCACCTACACACACATACACAAAGAAAGTGGTTTTAGCAGGACACATTGTACATTGTAGGAGAACATTTAAACTTCCACTTCAGATAAAATAATTATTTACATAGATAAAACAACCACGAATATACAAGTTACCTGCAAACAAATATCGTATTGCGATATCGACAGTAAATAAATAGCAGTCAGTTATCACATTTTTTATGTCAAACATCCGATCAAAATAATTAATGCAGCCTTTTAAAATAATAGCATAATACTTCTGACAAGGCGCTCCACTCCTTGTCGGCTGGACACGACCCCGGCTTGCAGGTCCAGCAACCTGCACTGCTAACAGCGACCGGCAAACACACCTCATCGTAAGCAAGCGCAGAAATCAAATTACAAGTCTAATGCACAAGTGCCTTCAGAAACATCAAGCATGAGCAAACGTGGCACTGAAAACGGAAACCCTGAAGAGTACAGCACCGGGAGCTTCTGGACATCAGACCGTTCATGCATTCTTAGATCAGTACATGCGATCAGGTTTTGCACATCACGATGATCATTTAGACACTGACAGGCGCATGTTGCAGGTCTGCAAGCACGATAAAATAAAATAATCCGGATTAAAATGCGTAATTGAAAGCTGTTTGTGCAGACAGAGGAATGGGTATTTGCACTGCACTCCGTTTTCAGGTCGTATCGGCAAATCGTATTGCATCCTCGGCGTGGGTACCTACCTGCCCAACAGCTGCAGCCATGCCTCCGCCCTGCGGCACTCCGCCATCCTTCGCCTGCGGCCGCTATTCACGGAGCACCGCTGCGCTATTTGCGTAACGGGCGGTATAGTTTCCCACAGAGGTCACTAGGTAAATGGGGCTAGAATAGTCTTATTACTGATTTAAGTGTTATGTTTATTACATAACGTTACTGATAAGAAATTTTAAATACTAACTAATTGTTCATGTAGTTGCTTCGTTTCGTTGACAAATTATTGTAATAATACCCATTTAGAAAAGTTTTATTTGATAAATGCTCATATGCATCGGCGAACTGATGTCTTATAATACACATTACAACACGGCTTTGGAAAATGCCACGTTCTTATTGGTCCAGAGATGTCACGTGGGTGTTAATTTTCCATTAAGCGCACAGGTAGAACCGGGAGTCGAATATCAGGTCTACGTTTTGGCGATTTAATCTTTTATTAAACATGTCAATATAACAACCTGTGTGACATTTTACTCATAAATAAGCAGTTATGGTAACTTGCTGCTTCTTGTGGGTAGCCTGATCAGACGTTCTATTCTTTTATAGGGGCTATATTTTTGCTAACTGAAATAATTTTTCTCTGAAAAATGAACTGTGACTACTACTACTATTATTATTATTATTATTTGCTGGTTAGCTGTGGTATACGGTTACAATGTGCCGTCATTTACAGTATGTTTCACATTCCTTTGCACTTGCACTTAACTAAGCAGTATCTCTGTAGTTATTAGTATTCTTACTAGCTCACTTTTCATCATTATTATCCTTAATTATTGTCATTATTGCCAGTTTCTCAGCCGTATTATTATTTATTTTTCTTCTATTATTAATATGTAAAGTACTTGATGCCGAAAAGAACTTCAGGATCAATGAAGCATCTGTCTGTCTGTCTGTCTGTCTAATCAATCACCAAGTAGTCATTCATTATTTCCATATAACCACACATCATTACATGGGGTCCACTAGTCTGGAGGTTGTATTTTGATCGCATTTTTTTTTTGGGATGCTGAATATTACTTAGATGTCCAATGTTTCAACATTTTGTGATGCTTTGCTTGTTTTTGTTTCTTTTCTGGGTAATGGCCCCCATCTGAGCTGGAATCCTGGATCAGTCCCATGGAGGGGTGACATTGTGGGTGTGACTCATGACCTTTAACATCGTGGGTGCAGCCTTCAGTCTGTCGACTTTCAGTCTGGCCGCTGGCGTGGAAAACTGACTCACTGATTGGTTTTGGCTTTGACCTCGACCACAGTCTGCACCCTGCTTTTAGTGAGCCAGCCCACGCTTTCTTTTTCTATAAGGTTAGCAAGCCTGGCCAGGGTGCGGGGCTGGGGGGGTTTGACCTTAGACCCCTAGAAGTTTTTTTTCTTCCTACTTGGGGGTTTCAGGTTCCTCTCCTCCAGTGGCATCTGGCTTTCTTTCTTTACTTCCTTCTTTTCATTTCTTTGTCCTCCCTTTTGCCTGTTTTTGTATTATTCTGTCTTGATGTTGCAATGTACCACAAGCACCTTGCCGTGACTGTTGTGAAAGGCACTATATAAAAATAAATTGAACTGATTAATGCAGCAATCACTTTATATGTTTTGCTGGACGGATTGCTGTATGAATGAATATTACGTTTGGTATGTGGTTGTTTAGCCAATGTGAATATTTTTGCCACTTATGGCAAGAACTGCAAAGTTTACTCTTGCATGGTCAGTCATTATAGATCAATACGTATAACTTCCCAAGCAACTGGCTAAATTAAGAAGGCATGTCTGAAAATGAAAGCCTTGGCATTAATATTATTAAAGTCATGCAATTTTATTGTACAATGGCTTGTTAATTTAAAAATACATATCAATATATCAAAGTACAAGATTATAACTGTATTGCCTTGGATTAAGGGCACCCGGGATTAAGCTGCATATTGATTTTCGACGCAGAGTAATCATTCAGTCAGACACCATATACAGCAAACAACTTTTGTTATTCTCATAAACCTCAGTACATCACTAAACCAACAGGTGGAACATCCAACATCTATTTCAGCTTAAAAGATCAAAAACCATGAAAGTATTTGAACATAAGATAAAAAAAAAACATGAGATAAAAAAAAACTATAAAATGTATTTAAATTGATTACAAGAGCCCTGTCATAAAATATATATATACAAAGTATAGAACAATTCAAGATTCCTGCAAAGAACAAGGTAAAAAAAATGTAAAATAATTCCATAGAAAACATTTTTTTATGAAAAGTCAGTGAAAATGTACTAGATATTGAATTCAGAGGTACTGTAACTGTCTTTTTTACTTTAAACTGACACACAGTTGTTCGTCTCTAAACAGAATTGCAGCCTAATCAGTCAGAAATGAAGCTCTTTACATCCATTTGTGTCCGTCGGAACACGGCACTCGGGCGCCCCCGCTTGGCGGGTGACGGCGTTGCTGACGGACATCGCGTGCGCAATCAGCACTGCAGCTTGCGGATGCTGCGCGAGATCCTCTTGAACTCCCTCTGGCCACGCTGCCACCTCTTCAGCGAGGTGATGACTAGGTGCCCGTCCATCTTCTGGCCCATCACCAGGTACGCGGCGTTGATGTCGTTCATCTCATCGCAGGTGCAGTACAGGCCGTCCCTCAGCCACAAGGCGGTCCTCCTCATGTCCCGCTCCGTCACACCCGTCAGCTTGTAGATGGTCCTGCTCCTGCTCTCTGGGATAATCTTGGTGTCCCCGTTCATGTAGGAGATCTCCTTCACCTTGATTTTCAATGCTGTGACGTGGACACAAAAACACATCAAGCATCCGACACTGAGTTCAGACTAGCGAGTGGTTCTTCTTTTGAGGGTGGGGCCAACGGGAAATAACCAATCAACCGGGAAAATTAGCACATTTTTTAAGTCTTAATTCATTGGATGGGCAGCTATTACCAACTAACCTTTCAGATATATTCAAATCAAAATACAGAATTATCTAACAACTGGTTCCCCTTGAAGTTACTCTTCAATTAAACCAGTGTAGATTTTTAAATGAGCTAATTCTGAATAATAGATAACTGGCAGAAGATTTGCCATAAAGATCGCCAGTTATGTTTATGTCAAATACAAAAATTGAGATTAATAGGAATGTACGTATTTTACGGTTTTCCGGTTGATCCATATCTTATAGCAATTAGAGTCATGATGTTTTTCGTACCAAAGTCGTTCTTGCAGAGGCTGTCAACGATCTCATTGTCATTCTCCTCTTTTTCTTGGCAAGCGTCACAAACTTTTGGAACTTAAAAGTGAAAACACACATCAGTAAATAAATCGACCAAAATTGCATTTACCGTAAACAAAATATCAAAAAATTAAGGACAAAGCACATTATTCCATAATTCTAAGCTGCCACCTCATGACTGTTTACATCTTACGTCTTTAGATTAACTCAGATTTTAAAATACGCCTTATTCTATAATTCAGTTTTAAAATTCAATTGATTTTTGTAAAGATTTTGACAAGCAGAGTTCATGTATATTAGGGGTCAACACCATGGAGAATTCTGATGGATATCTTAATCAAAATTATGTTTTCCATGAACGTGATAGACCTATTAAAAAAAAGTAGTCTACATTGTTTCTGTTTTTCGCAATTAAAACAATTGGCCGCGGACCTGTTTGTCTGTGTACGGACAGGTGGTCGATCCCTACGTGATTAAATCTTTAGTTTATTGTTTGGAGCGATAACGAATAGCAGCGTTTACCTTCTTTGGTGACAGGTGCGAAGTTGTCGGTACTGGCAGGGGGGATGCACAGATCGTTATCTGGCGGAAAGCGGTTGCAGTCCAGCATGTCTGGCCATGGGAACCCGAAAGCAGACATGACGGGCGCGCATCCCTGCCGAACCCCCTCGCAGAGGGACCTGCATGGCTGGATAGACTCATCCAGGTCATCAAGGCACACCGGGGCAAAGAGAGAGCACAGGAACTTTCTGGTGTCCGGGTGGCACTGCTTTTGGACCAGGGGGATCCAGGACGAAGCCTGCTGCAGGACCTCCTTCATGGTTTCGTGGCCGAGCAGGTTGGGAAGCCGCATGTCGGTGTACTCGATGTCGTGACAGAGCAGCAGAGAGGCCGGGATCGCTTTGCAGTTGCTCCTCTTATGAAACAGATCAGATTGACCGAAAGCGTATATCCCGTGAACGGCGTCCAGGGATCCTACTGAGCCCAGCAAGGCGGTGACGATCAGCGTGAAATGCATGTCGTGGGCTACTTTGAGTACTTTCCTAAAACATGCGTCTCGCTTTAAAATGTTTTTACCGAAATGTCTTAACTATACATCCATGCATGGGCTTCTCAGATACTGCGCTTTCGGTACGTGTGGCAGAGGTTAGAAACGGTCCCTCATGTAAATGAATCAGGGAGGAGTTGAATTCTATAGTGTACTTATTGATTGGTACGTTAGGAGTAAATATATTAATATTTAAGTTAATCTAATTTTATCTGCAACCCCTTGATGCATGCAATAATTAATATTCGGACGATTAAATATATGAGCAACATCATTATATTATTCATATTTCATACTTAAATTGATCTGATTAAGCAACTTAGAAAAGTCGGATAGGTATGACAGTTAAACTGGGTTCAGCGTGTTTCAACAAAGCAACTTGAGAAATTAAATTCTATTTTGACATATTTTCTTACTTTTTTGGTTATTTATGTTAGAGGTAGATACCCATGTATGATGTCACACTACAGGTAGAAACAACTAAGAAAACTGAAAAAAAAAAAATTATTAAAAGACACTGGACTCCTATTATATGTACATCAAGTGTCGCGCGCCCACCTATTTCCCACGCTCAGTATTTTTCATTCAGTGTGCAGTATAATCTGTAGATATTTAACTTAAGCTCTTCATTACTTTCACACATCCATTGCCCAGCATGCTACTAGTCATATAAAATTTTATCGTTTAATCTATTGCTTAAGATAGTGTTGAAATACTAAACAGTTCAGTTCAAGGAAGCACAATTCAGGTGTGAGTTTTATGTATCATGCCTCAGCGAAGGGCACAAGATAGGAGTACACCCTGGACAGGATGCCAGTCCATCACGGGGCTGGGGTACACCCTGGACAGGATGCCAGTTCATCACTGGGCTGGGGTACACCCTGGACGGGATGCCAGTCCATCACGGGGCTGGGGTACACCCTGGACGGGATGCCAGTCCATCACGGGGCTGGGGTACACCCTGGACGGGATGCCAGTTCATCACGGGGCTGGGGTACACCCTGGATGGGATGCTGGTCCATCACAGGGCACGGGTCTGGGGTACACCCCAGGAGGGATGCCAGTTCTCCATGGGGCACAATCAGGGTCAGGTTTCTTGTTATTGGGGCCCCACACAAAAATAACTTTGTTCTGTTTGTAGCCAATAGGGGGCCCCCAAACCTCGAGAGCCCCACATGGCTTGAGTGGTGGTAAACACCACTACTGGGCACAGTCATACTCTGGGCAATTGGAAACACAAATCATCCTGACTTCAGGTCTTTGGATTCTAGAAGCAAACCAGTATAACACGGGGAGAACATGCAACTCAACATGGGGAGAACATGCAACTCAACACAGGGAGAAGATGCAACTCAGTGTGGGGAGAACATGCAACTCAACACGGGGAGAACATGCAACTCAACATGGGGAAAACATGCAACTCAACACAGGGAGAACATGCAACTCAACATGGGGAGAACATGCAACTCAACACAGGGAGAAGATGCAACTCAGTGTGGGGAGAACATGAAACTCAACATGGGGAGAACATGAAACTCAACATGCGGAGAACATGCAACTCAACACGGGAAGAACATGCAACTCAATGTGGGGAGAACATGAAACTCAACATGGGGAGAACATGCAACTCAACACGGGGAGAACACGCAACTCAACACGGGGAGAACACTCAACTTCCACCCACACAGATTAAAGCCCCCAGCCCTGGGGGTGTGAGGTTACAGCCTGGTCATTTTCACATGGGAACTCTTTCAGCCATAGTGCAAATGTATGGGCAGGGTAATTGTTGGTAACTGAATGTATGGGCAGGGTAATTGTTGNTAACTGAATGTATGGGCAGGGTAATTGTTGGTAACTGAATGTATGGGCAGGGTAATTGTTGCTAACTGCCAGCTTAGGGTTCGTATGCTTTACTCATTTATCAGGATCATGCTTATGTCTGTCACCAGAGGCCATCCCTTCAGGAGCCAGTGTGCAGTGAAATATGGTCTTAGTGACAAAGCGAGTTCCCCGCTCTCAGGGGTCCTTGGAAATAAACAGTCATTCCCTGCACTCTCAGCGTTCTGTCAGTCTGGGTCCCATCCAGAGCTTATAATCAGGTCCAGGTTTCTTGTCAGAGACGCTTACTGGCCTCCTTCCCTTGTGTTAAAAATGCTGCCATTTCTCACTAAAGTGGAACAGCGACCATCTCCTGGCCCAGGTTACCAGCTGGAGGGAGACGATGGTCTGCAGATTACAGAACAGCACTTACCCTTGTCAGCCCGTCAGGACACAGGATTCAAATATTTACACACTGTGGTTTATTAGTGCTTTGAACAATGAGATATGCAAATTGGTTCCTCCATCACTGGGCGATGAGGAGCTGGATGGTTGCATTTATACTCCTGACTAAATGTCATTAAATAATATATGAAATAAAGTAGCCCTGCGATGGGTTGGCACTCCACCCTGAGATATTCCCTGCCTGGAGTCCATAGCTTCAGAGAGGCTGTGGAGTCCCTGTGTCCTTGAGTAGGACTTACCTGCCAACGTTTAGGTTTCAGTTACGGGGGGGGGTGATAAGCAAGTAAATAAGTTATCACATTTATGATGGTGACTGTTGGGACCTAGTATGTCGGCTCGTGTCATTTTCCCCACTATGCCCGACATTACAGTCAGTCCTACAGACTCTGCAGGAGACCATGCGCACTGTCCTGGTGACTAGCGAGTGCAAGCGGGAACTGATCAGTCCATCGGTGCTACATTTGTGGGTGTGTTTGGTTGTTTTTGGTGGAACGCCATCCTGTCCCAACATCCTGACACCAGCTAATTTAGCTAGCTAATTAATTCGCCATTTGTTCAACATCCGCAACAAGAGCAGGACAGATGGGTTGAAATTCTATGTAGCGTGTGGATTGTGTGTCTAGATCAGTGGTTCTTAAAACAATCAGCAAGTGTCAGAAGTTCCCATTTTTTGTTATTTATTGATGTCTGTATCGAAGGTCATTGTTAACTCATTAAAGTTCATCAAGTGTTTGATATTTAAATTTGTTCTGGACCTCTGACTTTGACCTAAAATCTGAGGTGGACCTTGGACCAAAAAGATGCCCTCGTCTAAATTGTGTTTCATAGATGATCTAGCAACTTGGGTAACGTCAGACAAACATACAAAACTTATGGATCCGTGTATGACGATCATAAAGTTTGAGGGCCATGCAAAGTACGGGAGTTTTCCAGGAGAAACAACAAAACAGGAGGAAGTTAGTCTTGGAATACGGGAAAACCCGGAAAAACGGGAGTGTTGGCAGGTGTGACATAGGACAGGGTTTCTCAACCCGGTCCTCGGGGACCACCAGACGGTCCATGTTTTTGCTCTCTCCCAATTCCCTGCCAATTGGGAGAGAGCAAAAACGTGGACCGTCTGGTGGTCCCCGAGGACTGGGTTGAGAAACCTTGACATAGGAGACAATAATGGATGGATTGGTGGATCAAATAAATATAACAATCAATTGTAAAGTTTTATTGGCAATGTACTGGCCATCCATTATCTCGCTAAAACTCCAACAACAATCACGTTTTAATCTCTTAATGGCAAGATTCATAAAGCATCTAATTTTTTGTAACAAACTAATTTTAGTCTTCCCTGATGTTGATTTCTTTCATTGTTTTCAAGAAGTAACGCATATCTAAGTTATTATATATGTGGACTATTCGGGACAGAATGAAATACTATAAAATAATGAATTATTAAGTGCATTGTGTTTTTAAGTGTTTGCAAACAACATAAGCAAGTCAATTGTGTGTTGTTTTGTGGAGAGAAAAGCGCACACATGCTTAAGTATAACGCCGTAATGTCAGAACGCAACTGCAGCTTATGAGTGACGGCGTCCGAGCCCCGCGGGGCTAAATGGCAAAGCGTGATACACGGTGATATAGAGCGTGGGGGGGCGGGTCAGTCTGCCAGCGCAGCCCTTAGGCGGTAACCTGAGAGGACGCGTGACCCAGCGACTGTAATGAGGTAACAGTGATGAAAGCGCGCAGCGACCGGGGTCCGAGGGACCGTGCATGGTTCGTGTCAGCGGCGCAGCGTGAGCGTCTGCGCGGCTCTGAAGCGCCGGTCCTGCGATACGCGCCCCGGCCGTGCCCCGCGGGAGGAGGGCTGCCCACTTACACTCACATTATTAAGTCCATGTGTTCAGCCCGCTCTCTCGAGGCAGGATCACCGCATGATCAGCGCTGGTTAGAAACCTTCCCAAAGCCGTGAAGGCGCTGGACGAGACGGTCCCGGGACGGGTGGCGACTCTGCACAGTGCTGTTATAAAATCTGACCCCCCCCCCCCACTCTTCCAAAGACTATCCCAAAATGTTTTATTCCGTTTTCCTATTTTTAAATCTAATACATTTTATTACATTATGTACATTTTAGATATACTATATCTGTTATAATATACTATATATTCCCTGTTTTATATAGCACAGCAGATGAATCTGCCAAAACAAGCATTTCATTGTATGTTGTATGAGTACGACTTCATGTCACAAAAGAAAATCTATGGAGGACCACAGAAGTGAGACCATTGAACAGGCGATGCAGAACGGCCACCCCCAGAAACATATGTGGCCCCTGACGGCCACCACAATCAAAATTTTCTACAGACACCACTGTTATGTGATCGAATCCCAAATTTAGAGGTCGCTTTGTTAGGCACTGAGCAGTTTTTATTGCTTATTTCGGGCATTTCTGTTAAGGGGAAGATAATATCACCGATAACATTTTGATTTGAATGCGCTTGATCAGAAAATGAATGTCAGCTGTAACCTGAGCTGAGTGAAAAGGACCAGGCTGGTATTCCCTTCGTACTGAGGGACCTCGATCATTAACCATTAAGTCTTATATATCAAACATGCATCTTCTGCTGGACATTTCCACTTTCATTTAGCAGAAGTGTTTGTTCCCAGTGTGGCAGATAGTACATTATCAGAAGAGATGAGAATAAAATTCACAATTTCTGGCGGGTTGGTGGGTGGCTGAGTGAATTAGGACGCTGTTCCTGTGAGCGGAAGGTTACTAGTTCAGATCGCA